GACTTTATGTGAACGAAAAGACACAAATTCGCCCATTTTCTCATTGAAAATATGTACATTTCAAAATATCATTGTCCTGGTCACAAAAGCAAAGTTTGTGTGGAATAATAGCCATTTTCTATACTTTTTAGGCATAAGCAATTACGAAATAACACTTCCTACCCAGGAACAAAAATTGTGTTACATAGTGTGTAATGTATGCATTGTCTTTGAAACTGATTGTCCTACACCAGAGAGAGCCTTCTTTCAGGCCTAGTCTCACTAGCAGTGTCAGATGAGAGAACTCCACAAGGCGAACAGTACAAAGACAATGCATCATCAGAGCAATTCCTTGCAAAATGTTTCTATTTGGTGTTTGAACATCTTAACTAACACCTGTTTTACTGCCAGAAAGGGTAAAACCTATTCTTACTTACTAAGGAATTGTTTGAAATGTTGCGTTTGCAATGAACGATGCAAATGACCAATGTCAAGGCATTCGTCGATAAAACTACTTCAATAAGGGAAAAATAAGTCGACGTTTCTGGCAATGGGCCTTCTTCATAGTACATTGAGGCCAGATAGAGTAATAGTTGGGAGACTTCACTTTACACCATTGGTACCTGGTATTAATTACATTGTCTAATGTGCTGTGAAGGGCCATTGCCTGAAACGTCGCATTTATATATTTTCATTTTAAGACCACAGAGTGTTATTAACAAACGTGTTCCGATTTTTCAATGAAAAAAATCCCTTTTATTTGTATTTTGGAAAGTGATTTTTTTACCCTTCCGATACTTTGCACTCAACAACAAATAATATCTTCTGGGTTCTTTCGGTAAAGTCACGTAGAATGGGAATAAAATAATAAAAATAATAACAGAATAAAATTCTCACGACGTTTCGGCCACAACACAAGTAGCCTTCCTCAGGTGAAGAAACAGGACTGTCCGGAAGACAGCGCTTGAGTGAACACTGCCAAGCACGGACAGCGTCTTTTAAGCTGTGTGGGAGGAACAGAGCACCTTGACAAAGGAGTTAACATATAAATTAGCATATAACTGGGGGATTAGCACATCGGATTGGGAACATGTAGACAATATGACTGCCTCATCAGCTGCCACTATGTCGACCAAATGTAAGGACAACTTGATTTCCAAATTCAACCGCCTGTCCAACAAGAAATCGGACCCACACACCGAAAAGCTAGACGTTAACAAAGTCATATTCTTAGTTTTTTCGGTAAAGTCACATTGAAGAGAAACAACAAAATAATAAAATATATATAAAACAAAAAAAAATTATCACGACGTTTCGACCATAACTCAAACGGTCATCTTCACACCTGAAGATGACCGTTTGAGTTATGGTCGAAACGTCTCTACTCACCTGGTTTCGACAATCAAGGGTATTTCCCTGTCCCCAAACGACCTGCTTGTCAGTTTTGATGTGGTTTCCCTATTCACCAAAGTTCCTGTACCTGACACCATCGCAATCATTAAAGATTTAGTTCATCAAGGACTACATACTGATATACCCCCCTGGCGAGACACTGCTTAACCAACACATACTCCACTTGGAATGGAACTTTCTACAAACAAACTGAGGGCACCCCAATGGGCTCCCCCCTATCGCCGGTTGTAGCCAACGTTTTCATGGAAAAATTTGAGACTGACGACATCCAGACTGCCACTCTACGCCTGATCTTAGGGAAGAAGTACGTGGATGACACTTTTGTCATCTGGCCACATGGCCGGCCTGCTCTAGACCAATTCCTCTACCGACCACATCAATTCCATACACCCAGCCATAAGATTTACCATGGAAGCCGAAAAAGATGGCAAGCTACCCTTTTTGGATGTCCTAATTAAAAGGAAACCTGATGGTCCAATGAGCCACTCTGTCTACAGGAAAGCTACCCATACGGATGTTTACTTAAAACCGGATTCCCACTACCATCCATCCCAGAAGAATTCCCTCATCAAGACTCTATACCTTCGAGCCCAGTGCATTTCCGACCAGGAACACATTGCTAGTGAACTCAAGCACGTACACCAAGCTCTTAAGGCTAATGGTTATTCCGACTACACAATCCGCAAAGCTATCAATCCAACCATGAAGGACCCTCTTGAGGAGCCTTTCAAAAACATCACAAAAAATATCTCCAAAATCCTGAATAAACACAAGATCCAGGTCCGATTCAACACAGTACATAAAATCCGTGATCTGGTTCCGTCTGTAAAATGTGGTTCCAGACATACAGTACTCGGGCGTCTACAAACTAAGTTGCCTCTGTGGTAGCAGCTACATTGGAGAAACCAAACGACATATCTCAGACTGCATCTGTGAACATAAAGTAGACTTGATACACGGTAGGATGAACACCTCAGCTGTGTCAGATCACTGTTATAATTCAGTGGGCCAACATGACATTGACTTCTCCAAGACGGAGGTTCTCTGCAAGCCATCGGGCTACCATGAGAGATTCGTTCATGAGGCTATCCACATATACAAACACAGAGACAATTTCAACCAAGAAGATGGATTCTGGCTTAGTAACCATTGGAAAGACGTTATAAACCATTTCGGTTCTTGATTGATTGTATTTTACGGTGACTTTCAGACCGCAGTCCATTCGCTGGCACTGCCTATTAGTACCTATCACACGTCGGTCAATAGTATAGTTTATAGCATTTGTATAATAATAAATAGTATAACAGTGTAATGTTTAACATAATTCATGAGGCAATATACAGTACCGTAATTGTATAGTGAATATACAGCAGTGGGGTATACAGTAGGGTTAATACATAGTGTAATACTACAAGTCTAATATCTTATAGTCTAAAGTATAGGGTAGTGTATAGTAACGCATTGTATAATTCAAGGGTGGGATTTGTCTATGTATACGATATTATACAATGTAGTTTAGATCGGAAGGTATAATATTGTGTTGTATAGTAGTCCAGTTTATGGCATAGTTATAACGCAACACAGGACAGAGCAGCGCACCGTGGCTGTTTCCTCCTCTTCCCCCCCTCCTCCATTCCGAACTTAGATGGACTCGTCCGTCTGAACACAAGCTCGTCCCTCATACTAACATCATGCTAATCCCCCAGTTACATGCCAATTTACTGTTGATATGTAAACTGCTGCTAATCCCTCACACCAACATAATGCCAATCCCCCAGTTACACGCTAATGTATATGTAAAACTCCTTTGTCAAGGCGCTCTGTTCCTGCCACACAGCTTAAAAGACGCTGTCCATGCTTGGCAGTGTTCACTCAAGCGCTGTCTTCCGGACAGTCCTGTTCCTTCACCTGAGGAAGGCTACTTGTGTCGTGGCCGAAACGTCGTGAGAATTTTTATTCCGTTATTATTTTATTCCCATTCTGCGTGACTTTACCGAAAGAACCCAGAAGATGAATCCCTGCAGTCACGAAAACTTTAAATCGAAACAAATAATATTTTTTTTGCATTGTTGCTGTAACGTTCTGACGCGCACCTACTAACCATCTGTGGGGAAAAAAGAGCTTTATATCTCATCGGATTCCACCTGCAGTAAAAAAAATAAAGTTCAGATTCTGAACAGCAACGAATCACAACAATCCGAGGTTAAAAAAAAAACCTTGACTTATAAAGCTTTCGTGACTGCAGAAATTCATATTCTTTGGGTCTTTCGGTAAAGCCACGTAGATAGAAAAAATATTAAGAAATACATTTGTTTTTCACCTGAAGACGATTGCTTGTGTTGCGATCGAAACGTCGTGATATTTTTAAAATTATATTTTTTTAAATCTACGTGGCTTTACCGAAAGACCCAAAGAATAAAAAAAACCCTCTAACCTGGCATGGCCCCCCACCGGCAATTGCGTCACCGACCACGTGACCGGCAGCCGGGGGTGGGGGGGGGCGGCGGCTCGATTTTTGGCGGGAAAATAAAAGCCATGGCGGAGGCCATGGAGCAGGGCGCAACGCTTGGAGCGGACGGCCTCTCCACGTCCACAGAGAGGCACGGCTCCCTCTCGCCCTTGCCTCTCTCGCTCGCGCAGCCCCGGCTCGTGGCTCACCGTCGCGTGTTTCATTAGGCTGCCACTTTAACTGGCGCCGGTGTGTGTGTGTTTTGTGTGTGTGTGTAAAGGATGGTGGCCTACATTGGTGCCTATTCGGTAACGACACTCGCTCCTACAGTCACGGGGAATGTTTTGTCAGGGATGCTGAGGAGCGGTTGTGTCGTGGTTAGCGCTACGAACCCGGCAATTGACGATTATTTGAACCGTCTCCTGGGCCTCTCCTAGGTCGACTCGGCCTCAAATGAGTACCTGGTGCGGTGTCTCAACGTCGCCAGTGTGGAGACAAAGGCGGCCGGGCGTGGTGCTGGTTACCCAACACCTCGCGTGCCGTGCACGGTCTTCGTAGGTGCTCGCTTAGCAGCCCTTGTTACCACGTTATTTTAAAACTATAGGGGATCTTTATCTTGTAAGGATGGTGAGCTGTTTGTTTCTCTTGTCTTCCATGCAATCGAGGATAAGTTTCAATTTTTCGATTTAAAGCTTTCGTGACTGCAGGGATTCATATTCTTGGTTCTTTGGGTAAAGTCACGTAGAAGGGGGAACAATAAATTAATAAAAAATATATAAGACAATTTAATTATCACGACGTTTCGATTGCAACACAAGCAATCGGCATCAGGTGTGAAAACCACAGCAATAAATTTATTTTATTATTTCCCTTCTACGTGACTTACCGAAAGAACCAAGAATATGATAAGTTTCATTTATTAGGTTTAGCCCTGTGATAGGCTCAGGCACCATGGTGTTTTTGTTTATTGTTGAGGTTCATTGCAGTGTGCAACATGTTAAAGGCGTTGGTTAGTGTTCTATACCAATGAACAATTGTTACGTGCTTAAACGTTTTAATTTAGACGTGCAGTTAAAGCTGTAGTGGTGTTGATAAGCGTTAGCGGCTGTGTCAACTTAAGCGAGTTTGGCCCAAGTTTTGAGTGTGTTGGATACGACATTACTAATAGCAATGTACAGTACATTATCTAAGCATGAAGAATTGTTTTTATTTAAGACGCTTTAAGCATTTGAAAATGGTCTTTGGGTTCCTTTACCTTATCACCTCAACAACACATCTCATCGGCCGGGCGGTGGCAGCTGTGCTGCACGTGGCCTGTAATCCAGCACTTTGGAGGCGTCCAGGGTTGGTGGGTCACCACACAAATGTTGTGAAACTCCTTTCGCGTGGCCGTCAAGAAAGGTGCCCATTGCCCGGCTTGTCAGCAGAGTGTAGTAAAGAAAAGTGCGGACTAATACTGTCTGTCCCTTATGTACGGGATTGTGTTGCCCTGCGGGTGCACCGATTTCTTCCCACGGTGTGTAAACGTGAATTGGCTGAAAACAATACTATAATGGAGGACCGAAGAGTTTTTGGGCAGTTTGCATCGGCTTGCTGCTTTTACAGCTTGCCTTGTTGTGGTTCCTCCGCAATTGGAAAATGTCACGTAAACAAAACGCGCCAATTACCGTAGTTTACTACTTCAGCCCCACCGGTGTGTTGGAGAATAATCTGGCTAAATCGCCCGATGATGCTGGATGTAATTGCCAGCGAAACGTTGTACTCAAATTGTAAATGTTGTGGATTTACTCTCCAACACTTCGGTGGGCTGAAGTAGTAACGAATTGGCGCATTTTGTGTACGTGACAAACCTTACTGGCTGTGTCGGGTGGTAGAGAGTTATGACACGTTTATACTTACGCGATCTAACCCAAAAACCTTGATGAATAATATTGCTCGCGAAAACCTGGGTGATTAAAAATAACTTTTCAATCATGATGTGGGAGTTTGGCCACAAATGTTTGTCAATGACTTGTACATTTATTTGTATCCAATGATATGCCATAGTGAAAGAGGATTAACACCACGGAGATGGAGTGATTACATCAATTAATGTGTAGGGGTGCCACGGTGGCAATATGTTAACTCCCTCGCCTGTTATGCAAGAGGTCGTGAGTTTGCATGTTCTCTCCGTGGTGGTGTGGATTTTTCTCCAGGTCCTCCGGTTTTAGAGTTTGGCTGCTATATATTTCCACATGATAAGCCATTATAGCTCGGTGGGCTTTACCTGGTAAAAAAAAAATCGTTTGCTTTATCACATTGCTGGATCGAGAGAGGTGTTGTGGTGGTCTTCATCCAGCAGTGGGTTGACAGTTTCTTATGATAATTGACCATGTGTGTGACCAATCACAGCCCTTGGGTTGTGCTTACCTATTAACCAGTCCTTTACATTAGACTTGACAGGACACTGGTGGCGAGGCGTTATCCCCCTCGCCTGGTATGCAGGAGGTCGTGGGTTCAATACCGACCCTGACGCCTGTATATTTGGAGTTTCCATGCTTCCCCCGTGGTCGCATAGATTTTTCTATAGATCCTCCGGTTTTACCATTCATGTTTAGAAACGTGTGTTCTGATCATTTGGCTGATGCTATAAGTTCCCACATAGATGACAGTCATGCAGACTGCAGTGTAATGCCACTCTGCCGTGGCCTCTCCTCCACAGTACCTCGATATTTCTACTGATGGGACGGACTCATTTGTAATAGAATACAGTGCATTGATGGGAGTGGTGCTTTGTAAATATATATTATAATCAAGCCTTTTTGACTGCCCTCCACAGAAATCATTACATTTTTCATTCTTAAATGTATGGGGTATGTTGTAATTTAATGCGTAGCCTTGATTATTTAAAATATCTTATCATATGTTGAGTTTGATTAACACATTCACATTTTTCTTGCAGAACTAAAAATAAATTTGAAGATTCATCTGAAGAGGTGAGCCCTGTCAATACAAACTTATATGCGTCGTTCAGTGTCTTATACAGTTTGGGCAGTGACATGGCCAAGTGGTAGCGATTTCACCACTTGTTGCAGAGGTTCGTGGTTCAAATCTGGCAGGCTGTGCTGGTTATTACCTGTGGGTGTATTAACTATACGATTTTATGCCGTTTGCTTTACAGTGGACGCTAAAGATTCCATATACAAGGAGGCCAATGTGTCCTGTCGTTGTCATCCGAATTTTCCAAATTTGAAAAAATTACCCAAAAATTGCTGGAATCGCATTACACGTGGCAACATCGCTCCCAACTGGCAGACTATAGCCACCTGTGAAACAGTACCTTTGTGATAGCCCTGTGTGATAAAAATGGCGTGAATATCAAATGTATTGGATTATTATGCATTAATGTGTATGAAGTTATGGTGTTACTGCCTTCACTATGGTTGCGTTATATAGGATGTGAATGAAGTTAAACGAAGCAAGATGGACAATTCATTGGAAAAAATAGGTGAGCATAATGTATCAAACACAATTGTCATTTTTGCAATGTTAGTTTGCACAGAGAAAAGTAAGCTTAAAATTTCTCACCATCAGAACGGTTAATGTTTGTTACATTTAAGTTAGATTTAAAATGTTTTATTACGTAATTGAAGGCAACCAAAGGTGTGGAATTTCATTGAAGCAATTTGATTGCTTACTTACCGTTGATAAAATTTGATCATCACTTTTGGACATGATCCAAATGTTAGCCAGCTTCAAAATTGAAAATAAAGTACTTAGTGTTTTCACTGTAGTGTTTTAAATTTCGTTTTTACACAATACAGTATACCGTAGTTAGCATTCTGGACATCCACCGACTGGTTGTATCAGAGTTCCAATCTGTCGCAGACAGAAGTGACTTCAAATAATTCCTCTCTGGTGTGTGTTGGGATCTGATGTGCTTGCGCTGAGAATTTTTTTCCCCCCACAGAAATAATTAATCGGCTTTCAACCAGTTGCGTCGCAATTTGTTTTATTGACACCTGATAGAGGTCTGGTATACAAAAAGAGGTGTTGAATTTGAATGGATTCATGTAGCTTTAAATATAGTATACAAGTATTTATTACAGCCAGACCTGTGCCAAAAGCAACATTGCACCTCAATGAATGGGCTTTCACTGTTCTAAATAAAGCATGAGCACCGATTGGCATTGCCCCATTTTGCACGACACACAGTAATATGGATTACTATTAATATTTAATTTAACCAGAAAAACCTCGCTCGAGATCGTCCCAGGAGGATCCTACGTGGACCGTTTGGCCAGTTCATTTGTGAATATTTTTGCTTGTTGGAGGAACTAGTGCCTGGAGGAACCCCACACATGAGGGTTCAACACTGTACAGATACATCTGTAGCCTTGCTATCATCATCATCCATAGTTAATCCTCGGCTGGATATAGAACTCACCAAGTCGCCAGTATTTTTCACGATCCTGCAATGTATTAATTCACATAGCACCTGCACACGAACCGATTTTATCTCTCCATCTCCCACGGTGGATGAACTCTCAGGTGCAATCCATTCCTTAGCTGCCATTTTGTCAATATGCTTAATTGCCATCATTTTTGCTCGCAAAGTACCTTGCACAAACTTGCTTTATACTACATGCTGTACTACCGAAAGACTCGAGTCCTCTACCCATCTTACGTCATGGTGCACAGTTATGATTGTGAGCAGAGGTGGTATAGTAATTAGCACACTGCTACAAACCTGGCTAGCCGAGTTTGATTCCTAGCCACCGTGAATGACAACTGAAGTGATGAGTAATATATCAATCAGAACTAGGTAAATTTAGCTTTAAATAAGGTGTGGTGTGTAAGTGTCAGCACTGGGGAGATAAAGGCAGCTGTGTGTGAAGCAGACCACACTACCGCCTTGCACTGTGCAGGCATTAATAGGTGGTTGCTAACAGTACTTGCCCCAACAATCTCTGCACAGTATACAAGATGATCTTTGTCGCATGTGATGGAGGGAGTGATGGAATAAGAGGTGGAACACTTCACTGCAATCCTGGCTACTTGGTTTTGATTCCTGGCCTCGGACATCTGAGGCAAGAATTATCTTAACTATTGTACCAATGTCAATGAATTAACGGATAAACGTTTCTTTTCAAAACCATGCTTTCTGATTGGCTATACGGAGTTAAGAAAAACTCAATCATCCTGATGTGCCTGGTTTTGTCATATTTTAGAAGCTTAGCAGGTTCGAGTCCAATTAGTGCTTGGATTGTCCATGATCACCAAGTGTTGCAGGCTTTGACTGCAAAGTCGCATGGCAGCATAACAATGGATTTTTTGTTAACATATATGCAGTGTTTTGTTATTCTGTCATTTAGGTTTTTTTTCTTGGTACTCTGGTATCTTCTCAGACAACCACTTCTTAATGGAATTGGCCAAACATCACAAAGCAGGACACTCCGCGAGAGTCTTGAGACCCATTGAGGCTTTCCGGAGTAAATATTCTGCTGTCAATCAATCCACTGCTGGGTGACAACCAGTACATATACCACTCACCGCTGATGTTTACTGTGGCCGCGATTCAAACTCCGATCACCAGGCTCGTAGCATAGTGAGCTAACGCATTATAAAAATGCCATTCATTACATTTCAGGAACGCATCCCCGACGTAAACCGGGGCATTACTCTACTTGCATTACAATAATGCGTACACGTGAACAGTGCATAGTGACATTTATCGTCGTCGCCGTGTGTGTGTGTGCGTGCGCACGCGTGAAAGAACTGGCATTGGATGCGGAGGTGGCAGAGGACGAGGACGAGGGCGAGGGCGAATGCACGCTGCCAAAGGACACCAAGCAGAGGCGTCGCTCGAGCTTCGTGCGAGGCCGCATGCGCCAGTTGCTCGCCCCGCTGCACAGCGACACGTCCGGTACGACCGATTGGAGCAGCATCACGGCTTGTACAATTATCTATGTGTACAACCCATTGTCAGTTTATCTGCTGGATGAGGGGTGCCGGAGTGGCGAGATGTTAACTCCTTCGCCTGGTATGAAGGAGGTCGTGGATTCGATCCAGACCCCTGACGCCTTCTATATATATGGAGTTTGCGTCTTCTCTCTCCCCCTTAAGCGCCTGCATTTTTCTCTCACCACCAACGTTGGCTGTGGCCGGGACTCGTGCTCCGGTCGCTGGGTTCGTAGTGCAGTGCGCGTCCTCTGGATCTTCTCTCAATTGAGAAACGGGCGTTTTAGAGTATTTGGCTGCTATAAATTTCCACATGATATGCCACTCCATTGAGCTCTCATTTGGGACCATTCTACATGACTTTACCGAAAGAACCCAGAAGAACACAACAAATAATCAATTCCTGAATCGAATCATGACTCCGAATGGTGACAATTGATAAGAGCACACCAGGAATGATTTGTCACGTGCCTGCTTCTTATGTATGTTGAACTTCTTTCACACCGTACATAGCCAACCCTGCTAATTGAAGGCGCAGGGAAAGGACACTCTAAACACAAAGCAGTTCTAATACAAGTGGCTGACACACTAAGCGACTGGCCTTCAGGTGCCCTTCACAGTATTTTGGAATCCAAACACCATTTGGGCTACTCGCATGAATGAGCACTGCTCCATTGCTCATTTGAGCAGGATAATTTTACTTTATTTGACTTGCACCCGTCTGGACAGTTTGGTCTCACCGGTTGTAGTCAAGTGAGCAGGGAAAATCGGCAAAAAGTGAAAAAAATAGCACTATCCGATCTGCATTCGCTGCTGGTCCCATGGCATTGCTTTTCAGACTTTGGATGTGCTGTCAATTGTTCGACTTTAGTATATCAGTGGTTCCCATGCTTTTCATTGCCTCGACTTTTATTTCAGACAAATGTTGTGTCTATAGGAATTTGGCAGCCACTCCCAACACCAAAAATGAACACAAGCCTACCATTGTGCCCAGGCCATGTCTGAAAGCTGATCTAAGTCTTAAGCAACTAAGCCTTGAGTCAATTAGTTTCCTAAAACATTCATCTTAATATTAAATTAACCACGCGTATGTCCTCTATACATTGTTAAGGTCAGGATGAAAGAAATGTATCGATAATTAAATGCAAAATAACATTCACCAAAATATATTTAGCCCACAGTCAAGATGTTTACCTTCACTTCGGCTGACTGTACACCACACTGTGACAGCGTACAATGCCTTACAGGCTCCATATTTTGAACTGGCAGTGTTGCCCTATTTATATTTGCGCTGCCTCAGCTTATTCAGGTGCAGTGGAGGCCCTCTAAATGCTCAATTAGTTAAAGCTAATATGCTCATTCAATGATTAAAGTCAGTGAATGAGCCACAGTGCAGTATAACTGGTTTTGAAAACTGGTATAGTACCTACAGCATTATTACAATTGACTAATTAGTATATTCCAATACGACTTGTGTTGCCAATACTATTTATTAATACGAACATATTTCATATCTTATTGTACTTTACTCCCCAGAATATTTACCCATTCATAGCACATTGTTTAAAACACATAGTACAAGTGTCACAACTACACAGTCCAGTCTAGATAATTGTGTCAAACCATTTGGGCAAATGACAGTTAAATTATGACTTGTAATGATGATTAACTCATTAATATAGATAAGGGAGTAGTAACAGGGCCATTGGCTCAGATCCGTTGGTCACCCTGACTCAGTGGTGGAAAATTTTCACTTGGTACATGTGCATCATTATGGGGGGAAAAAGGTGGCATATACAATAGATTTTTTTTGGGTCGGGCCACGTAATGGTCTGGCCAAGTTTGTCTCGTTAAGACCCTCCACCACCGGACATAGCCAAACAAATGAAATTACCACGTGTACGTGTCTTGGATACAGTTGCTACATTTGTTTGTGAGAATTGTCCTTCCACTTACAGGTGAGGTTAAATAATATGTGGAACGGCAAACTCTTGCACACGTGTGACCATTTGAATTGTTTGGCTATGTCGGGTGGCGCAGGCTTATTACTGACACAAATTTTGACCGGATTAAGTCGCCTAAAGCAAAAGTCAAAAAATTTAAATATCGGTTATCAAAATCTACATGTTGAGTTAAACATACTTGTGTTTAATATATGAAAGATAAATAGGCACAGAGGAGAAAGGAGAAGAGGAAAGTATTGAGCCTGAACTTGAACAGGGACGGGGAGTCGACGGCGCAGATGGCCTGTGAAAAATCATTCCAGCCTACAGTGGCAGTAGAAGAGAAGAAGCTACAAACAGCAGAGGAAGGAAAGTGGAGGTGAAATGGGAAGACAGTGAGTTGGTATAAGATGATTAATTTTGTGAGTTTGAGTATGGCAGTAACGTGTTCAAACTATTTTTATGGTTGTGGTAATCAATGAAGAGCATAGTATAACTAAATGTTATTAACTTGCTTATTACTGTTAGCCATCAGCAAGATGCTTCATTCCAATCACAGAACAAGTTTCTGTGTCACATGACTAATTGTGGTACATGCCACTAATTCACCGAGTTAGAATTGAGGTTGATGAATCGTGCTGAGTGAGCCTTGTGGGTCGGTGACATGGCCTCGCGGTTGCGCGCTCGTTGCTTGTTGCAGTGTTTCACGTTTCGAACCCAGAGGTTGCCCTGATTATTACTGCAGGTGTAATAACCAGAATAATACACACTGCTTGACAGCGGGCACAAAATATCGACTGATGTCATTCGTAAGGTTAGGCCATTGCGCTCTGGTGTCGGGATCCAAATATGCCAAATTCTAAAATCCTCTGCAACTTACTCAATTGGAATTATACATAGCAATCATTGTCCCCACTACTGGCAGACTGATACCTGCTTGTTGCAGGCCAGTTGCTGAGTCACCTTGTGCCCACAGGGGCAGCTGCCACTGGCTTGGGGGGGGGGGGTTCCCATTTCAAATTTCTGACATGAAATGTGATGTAAGGTGCTCTTAGATGCAGCGCTGTATCGTGTGCTTTATAATAAAAAAATAAACAAATGATTATCATTGAGGCAGTACAGAAAACAGGTTGCCGACCAATATAAGGTTGCATTTGGAATGCTATTCTCTCAATTGTGTGGGTTTTCTCAATACCCCAACAGGAGTTGGCCAAATATTCCATACAGGATCTTCTTGAAAATGTTTCTTACATGAGGTGTTGCTGTGTAACAATTCATTAATGGAAATCAAATGCTCACCTTCACAATACATGCATCGAATCGTGCACGTGATAATAACTTATTTCACAAGTTATGTTATTGAAGGAAATTCAGCAACTCCATTGAAATCCTGCAGCCTGGACAGATTCCAAATGCACTACGAAGACAACTAATAATTATTTTTTTAAATTGAATCATGACATAGAGCAGTGTCATTTCATCAGGTCATGGCAGGAAATGTAATAAATAGTTTTATGCCAGATAGAATATAAAAAAAAATATCTGTGCAGAGTTTTCACTAATAAAAAGAGAAATCGCGAAGAATTAAAAAAATAACGCATTACCTTTGCTTAGTCCAGGGGTCGGCAACCAAAATAACAAGAAGAGGCAATATTTTCGGATTCTTAAAAAAACAACTCTAATTCAAGAGCCACGTCACGAAGCATATGGCTCCGGAGCCGCAGGGTTGCCAACCCCTGGCTTGGTAAATTACGTTTCACTTGAGTGTGACCTGGACACTGTTGTTTCTGAACAGTAGGGGGTGCCGTGCGCACGCAGATGCTGTCAAGAGTTCCGTGGAGAGGTTTTGGTTTGCTGCAATTTAGCTTGCAGGATTTACAACCGAGCTTGAGCGCTCCATCCTTTAACTTAGCTGCCCAAGATTTATCACTACTTTATTTTAGCCACTCAACGCCAAGCACTAACATAATTATTGAACGCTACTTTTAGTTTTTGCCTTCGTCCTATAATCCACAGCAGCAGAGGGCACTTGGAGCCGTTTTGCATCGCACAGCCTTCATTAGAACTCTGTGTTTGTGCTGTTGCTTGAACTGTGCATTAGCAGCCGAGTACATGCATTCCATTAATAACATCCATTAAGTTGTCTGGCATCGGAAGCTGAGCTTTAAAATTAAAGATTATTTTGCTTTTAATTTAATGGATAGTGTTCATGCTGCACTTGGAAAGAATTTTCTTTTTTTTCCCCTCCCCACCCTCCACTTTCCTATAAACCATTTGTCTCTGTTTAATTAAAGCCAAGCTGCATAGCTGATCTGAAATGAATGCTTCTTAGGAAAAAATATGTCCGGCTGACCAAACGCAGCCCTCCTAGGTTTTATTTTTTACTTTTATTTTCTTCCCTTGCTGCAGTAGACTCTAGTGCTTGTGACTTCTTTTCCCCCATTTGTCAATCACACCACTGAAGTTCTGTCCAGCATCTTTTTTTCCCAATTTCCCCAAAGAGAGGACAATCTGGCCATGCCCCAGCCATAATCTGTATTTTTGGCAGCCGCGAGTCACTGGGGTTCTGCCTGGAGTGTCACTGGCGCGCACAAACGGACCCAGATAAATCCTCGCTCATTCTATCTCTCCGCACCAGCGGTTTTCCTGGCTCCGAAATAAACCACCGCCTTTTTTTTAGGTTTGCAGTTTTTTTTCCGTGTGGCTTTTATTTATTTATTCATTCATTCCCTTTTTCCAAGGAGTGGCCAGGTCTTGGCAAGATTTGATGGCATGCTCTCTGCTATCGTGATTCTAGCTGCCAATGATTGGTGGAGTTAAAGCCTCAATCTGGGTTTATTGCTTGTGATTATTTTCTGGGGGAGATGGAGCCGTGGGTTTATTATTAATTCAAAAGTTTCCGTGTTGCAGCACCTCCCTACTCCAACGAGAGTGTGTGTGAAGATCTAATTTCTTTTGGTGGCTCTTGAGCTAATGGGATAAATTCCACATGTTTATGGCAGTGATATTTTATCCTTGGGACAACCACCATTGACTTCCCCAAAAAAGTGGTATCTATTTTATTGACTCGCAATAGGCTAAGTCGAATTCACATAGGCATTTTAACTCTAAATACTTCCTGTTGTGAGTGAAGCAGCCTAATAATAGCACCATCCAGTCGGAGTATATTTATTCTGGTAGTTTATTTTCATTTCCTTAAAGCCTAGATAATAAATTTGAAGATCATAAGGTTGGGAACAAAAGTTGATAATTTTCTTACCATCTTAAAAATGATGTATTGCTCCTTTTATCAGCTCCCAGTTTTGATTTTTTTACTTTTCATGGCATCCAGAAAAGCTGGCCACAATTTGCAACTTTGTTCTAATTGCATGTGACTCACGGCATCTCTTGGGCCAAGCAGCAGCCCCTTTTAACAAATTTGCATCCGCAATGCGCGCGTAGTCGCCATTGGTACCGGGTCCAGTGCGCGCACCGGCGAGCGTGGGCAAGGCAGCCCCCCATGCCTGCCGTTCACAGCAGCTCTGCAAGGCGGCATGAGCCAAAGGGAAAGGTCAATGGTGCTGTCTGCTCAGCAGAAACCAGCTGCCTTCTCGCCGCCTCCGATAGCCGTCCCGGATAATAAAACCCCGGTGTCATGGGACCCCAAGTAATTTTCTGCCGTTTAATTGAATTGCCGGGCCTGCAGAACAATAACAGGAGACAAATAACCTGCAGTCCCTTGGCGGCAGAGGGAAGAGCGAGATATGGCATCAATTAGATTTCTCTGGCTCGGGTTGTATTCCCTCCCCAAAAAACATGCACGCAAACACACACACACACACCCCTGCTTCGATGTGTGCATGCATGCGTGCGTACGTGATCACAGTAGCGTTGTGCGTCTGTCTGTGTACGCGTGGGTGCATACAGGAGTGTACCTTTTTAAAGGTTGCTTGTTGTGCTTTGAATTTATTTGGTTTGTGCTTGTTTATTGCTTGTGCGTTCCTTTTTGTTTCCCCACCCCCCCCGTTCCTACGATTAAAAACAGTTTGCAAATTGAACCGAGTGACCTTTAGCTATGATTAAAATGGGAGCAAACAGAACGTCACATTTATCTGTTCCGCCATTGGTAAATGATTTGGTTATTTATTTGCGTGAGATCAGTTTACAGTGAATTAATATGCATATGAGATAAAAGTGATTTTAATTCATCTTTAATAATGAAAATAACCAGCTGTTTCATATGATAATGCAAATAAATCTGGTGGCTCAATGAAAATTCTGACTTTTAGAATTTAAATGCAAAAACAAAAGCAATGTTTTGCCCTTTAATCTGCCTCCTCGCATTTTGGTCCACATTAATCAATATGACACATTATCCAAAATTTTATTTTAAATGCAAAACAAAAACATGTTGCACCATAACGCACACAAAGAAAATAATAAATGTTGCCTCTCAATGGATGCGTTTTCTCATTTATGAACGTCCCTGAATGTAACATGAACGAGTGGTCTACCTTTTTACCGACGGGGTGTTAAACTCACCGTTTGTAAAGATCTGTGTATTTGTGTCCGCTATGAAATGGCTCGCTCATTCCTCTTGCCTTACTTATTGTGACAATGACCAATAATAAGAATGAGTAAAGGAATGAAGCCTCGCTAAATATGGGACGAGAACAGTTGCCTTAATTGGCCTGGGGGCCTCTGTATGATTTCCTGCAATAAACCTAAATTAATGTATGGCGTACCATCTCGCATTTTAATAATGCTGCATACGTTCTTAATGCGAGGAGCGCTCACTCTTGACGTTTTTCTAAACGGCCTACATTTGGCCGTTTGATATCGTACAGAGGCGTCTTCTATTCCTAAAGTTTGCTCGCTTAATGAAATATAAATATCGTCCCATAAAAACTGCCGCTCGTATTAGAGGCTGTCATTTGTCACGACACGTTTGAAATGGTTTGAGCTTTTGTCTTCAAATTCGGAAGAGACGCGGGGCATAAAAGGAGAAAAGCCTGGATTAGGATTTGTTTGCAAAACCTGCTTAAATTGTATAGCCGAGACTTTCACAGTAAAGTATGCGGCCTGCTGTGGCATATTCCTTATTCAGCATTTCTCTTCTGTTTGTATTCCTCATCAGGTCATCTTCTTCAACGTGCAAATGTTATTTTTTTTTTTCCAAAAATATAACCGTGAATTGTAAAAATCCAAATTTCTACGCAATATATTTCTCGACATCTGATATAATGCTGATTGTAATAATCCAATTACTCGTCTTTGTCACGTTAAAATTTGATCCAGTTATTTTATTAGCATTGGTAATGATAGCAATGCCACCTGTGCTGAAGTGGCATGTTTTCTGAGTGCCAAGTATTACCAGTAATTCTGACAGTGTTACTGTAAACACAGCTGTGAGCATATGCTCATTTGTGCGGAGCCCTCTGGTTTTCAAGGATAGGCCATTGTGTGGTACTGATTTGGGTGCCGTGTCGTTCTGCAGGAAAGCCTCCTTGAGTCTCAAGACTCAATTTGTAACAAAGTGCTGTATTTGGGTGACTCGGACAGCCAATAATTTTTGAAGAGTGTTTTGTATGTGGGAGAAAAGTAGAGTGAGCACCTGGGGAAAAAGAACTCGCCATGCATACAAGGGGATATCCTTAAGGTCCACACGGACAGGTCCACAAAACCACTTGCTGTATACTGACATCTCCTAACCACCTCCAAGCCCAGCATGGATTTGGGCATTCGAAAAAAATCTGTGATTCACGTGGCATCCCTCCTACAGAGCACTGGATCACAGGCCTGCTCCACCACATCCTGGCTCTTGTATTCATTCCTATAAACTGGGCCAGCCTGAATTAAGCTACATTTTGTGCAGTCATTGGTGACCGGGCTGATAGCATCAGCTCGCTGCACTTAAGAGCCTGGTTTAATCACGGGTGGCTGCTCGGATTCAAACTGGGCATCTCTCTGCAGCTGGCTCAATGTTCTGACCCGCATAGCATTAACCCTTCTTGTAACCATTCAGCCATGTCATAAATATAATCATTTTGTTGATGGGTTTTTTGTAACAGAGCTTTATAAGACGATCAGCATGGACTTGCCTTTGGAGGAGAGGCTGTGCCATCTGCTGCAGGCGCTTTCCAGAGTAAGTGTCCGTGCCTTGTGTTGGGTGTGTGAGAAAGAATGAGTGTGCATGCGCTTGTGTGTGTGTACAGTCGTTGAGTGAGTGGGGTGTGTACATGTGTGCTCTCTTTGTGTTTCATATACATGCAGGTGTCTTAATATGTGTATGTAGGTTTGTGTTTGTCAGTACGTTACAACGTGCATACGTTTGGGCACACGTGTTTATGCGTCTGTGAGTGTATGTATGTATTTCGATATTTGGATGTGTTTGTGTAGGTTTGTGTTTGTCAGTACGTTACAACGTGCATACGTTTGGGCACACGTGTTTATGCGTCTGTGAGTGTATGTATGTATTTCGATATTTGGATGTGTTTGTGTGAGCTAGTGTGTTTGGGGAGTGGTGGCACAACGTTTAACGTGCTGCGTAGCAACCCATGTTTGATTCCTGCTCACAGCCAACACCAGTGACGATTATCTGAACCGGTCCTGGGCCTCACCAAGGTCGACTCGGCCTCAAATGAGTACCTGGTGTGGTGTGTTAACATTGCCACTGGGGAGACGAAGGCGGTCGGGCATGGTGCTGGCACCCCCACCTCAAGTGCCTTGCCAAATTTCATAGGTGCTCGTGAACAACACTTGCCCCAATAGTCTATTAAAGCTATGGGGGTGTCTTTGTCTTTTGTGTGTGAGCAGTGGTGTAGCGGTTATAGCACTGCGCTATGAACTCGGCAGCCTCCGTTAAATACCCGGCCATAGCTAACCTCAGTTGTGTGTGATAGGAAACTGGCTCTGGACTTCTAGTCTGGCTCAACCTAAAATTAGTGTGGTGTGGTGTGTAAAAAATAGAACAGGGGAGATAAAGGTGGTCAGTCTTTGTGCTTTCAATACATCCCCTTGTGTGTTGTGCTGACCTTAAAAGGTGCTCACTAACAGCACTTGCTTCAACAGCCTGTAAAAGTGTATATGAGGGATCTGTTTTTTGTGTACGTGCCCTGTGTGCTGGATATAGATGTCTGGATTTTTGTCTCCGAGTGAGTTTATATGGTGCACAGTTGTGCCTACCCATGTATATATGTCCTTCTGTGTGTGTATATGGAGAGGGACACTGCAGCATTTGACACGCTACGATCACACTCACGGCCAACACCAGTGACGATTATCTGAACCAGTTCTGGGTATTCCCTAGGTCGACTCGGCCTCAAATTAGTTCCTGGTGCGGTGTGTAATCATCGCCATGAGGGAGAAAGGTGGCTGGGCGTGGTGCTGGCCACCCACCCTCCCTTGTGTGCCATACCGGTCTTCATAGGCGCTCGCTAACAACACTTGTTCTAAAACTCTGTTCAGACTAAATGGGGGCTGGTGGGGGGGGTCTTTGTCTTTGCATGCGTTTTGTGAGAGTGTGTGTGCATATGTTTTTGGGTGTGTACTGCAAGTTTTTACGTGTGGTGTCGGCATCTGTGCCGCACCGCCGGGCTCCCGTTAGTCCTGCTCCATCGCCCACCGCATGCGCAATCACAATCCTGGCGCTCACCCTCGTGTAACACAACACAATCGCGCAGTGCAATACAGCTATGGCACATTATTTACATACACAGTGTCAAAGTACAATCGTATTTGCACGTGGCATATTGAATTTTGATGTGGACACAGCAGTCATTAAAACTGTCGATGCCATCTGTCTTAAACGGTATGACCACATATTACATATTTGAAAACGTTTGCATCAAATATATAATATGGGGAGCAGTGGTTTGTGCATTGCGTTCGAATGTAGTGGAGTGCACTTTTCCCCGTGTGTGACCCCCCTGCAGACATGCCTGCAAAAGCTGAAACTGTCCGAGGCCGACGCCGAGGGCTTTGACTTTGCCGCTTTTGAAGACAAAGGTGAATATACACATGGATTATAGCGCACAAATCGCAAGCACGTTCAATTCTGGGTGGGGGATCATTCAATCATTGCTATTTTTTTTAGCAATGTGAGAGCCCATTGAGACCTTGATCAAACAAAGCAATATAGCAAACCTGTCGTGAGGTCAATAACAACAGTCTACAAACCGAATATAATACGAGAACATCTAGAATTGATCAAAATGACACATTCACATTTAAATATATTTTTGTTAGTTGAGTAAAATACATACAAAAAATTAGGTTTAAGCTATAGTTCGAACATACACTTTTGCATTTCACCTGATGTAGCCATCCCATGCTTTTACAGGATCGATAAAATGGGTATCACCTTGAGGGGGAGTCAACAAGGGAAATAATGGCCTCCAGAATATGCATGTGGAATTTCCACCAAATGGCTTGGGCCTACAAATGGAGATGATCATTGTCCCCCCCCCCCCATTGTTCCCTTATAACAGGGAGACGGTTTAGCTTTATGGCTTTTTTTATTTTATCACCAAATCTATCCCAATTGTGCTATCCGAGTCAATGGCACGATTGGGAATTATGACGCATGACTTTTAAATTGAGATTCTGCTCGTTAAAAGCTGCTCTGTAATTCAGCAGGAGAATAACTCAAAGACAAGAAACTTAGAAAAATGCATGAGTATACACAGTCCTGTAAAAATCCACGAATGTCTTGTCAATTTTAAAATAATCTTATTTTATTTGGTCAACTTCTGTGTATTCTAAACAAAATCTGATGCTTAAATTATGGTATTGTTTGCTGTAACTTAATTTTCTCAGTTCATCTAACACGTGACATTATTTTCAAATATATGTACAAATAGGCATGTGTTTGCACATGCGTGTAAATATTTTATTGAGTTCTGTAACAAGCATCTATATAATTTATATATGGTTACATAGGTACAATTCTAGATTTAAAGCTTTTGTGACTGCAAGGATCCATACTCTTTGGTTCTATTGGGTAAAGTCACGTAGGTAAAAAATAAAATAACAAAAAAATCACGACGTTTCGGCCACAACACAAGCGGCCTTCATCAGGTGAAGGGATGAGACTGTCTGGAGGACAGCGCGTGACTTTACCCAATAGAACCAAAGAGTATACATAGGCACAATTAATTATATCTCCTAAATGCACTTACAGGTAATGTGCTCATTGTTTACTTGGGCAATGCCATTGGCAAGCAATAACCTCTTGCAAATTATGTCAAGATTGTCATTCTCCATTTCACAACAGACGTATACATTTTACAAATACGGGTCTTGAGGTGGCTGGTTCGCTCCCAGGTCAGGACACTGAGTGGCATCGTTGAAACCCTGGGTTTGAATCCAGGCAGCCAGCCACCGGTGACTAAAACCACTTTCTTCAATGACAGTATAATTAATTATCAGTGACTACAAAAAAAACCCACCTTTGAATTCGAGTTTTTAGTTCATGTATCTTATTCTTGCTCTGTGAATAAAATATATGGTTTGATTGACATGCAACAAACACTCTTAACAGAGCATATAAAATGTGTGCTTCTGCTTATGAAGATGCACTCATAGTAGTCTGCCTGTGACATCATCTGCTACGGTCGTTCTCTGATACAGGGTGATCCACTGCTCGCTGGAGGGTTCCAAATTAGACGTTTCTTCGTATCATGACATAAAATTGGAGATAAAAAATTCAAGTTGGCCGTGATGTGATTCGCGCCGTCGACTCTGCAAACTGTCCCAGTGGCAAGCAAAGCCGACTGCTGCAAGCGATAACCCAGCCTCAATATCCGTGCTTGGCGTGCCCCTCCAGTGCCGCTTCACCCCACGGGGTCGTGCTTCCGTGCCAGACCGTCTTGGGACTGCCATGGTTTCCATGGAAACAGGCCGCTTGATTGCTGCTAGGCTGCGCTTCGTGGCGAAGACGCGGAGATTGGGGCTGTGAAAAACGTGTGGCAAATCACCACTAATTAACAACCTAGGTGCCACCTATTGTCGGCGCTTGCCTGGCTGACAGCGGAAACTTGGCATCTAATTTTCAGATCGTCATCAATATCATTAACTTGGCTATAATCGTTATAATTGGATACATCATTATTGTTCCTTGAATTGTTACTGTTAAATTCCCATTCATTTGGTGGTGGTGTTGTTGTTGGCTTCATCATTGTTCTTGTTTAAGTGTTATTTTTAATTGTTGTTGAAATTATTAACATTACACGTTGCTGGCAACATAGCAATATTGCACTTAAATTAATTTTGTTTGACTTCGGGTGGGTTCACATTGCATCACTTAATGTATGTGACTTACCAGAATGGGCGCTTAAGCCTCCCATCACGGGGGTGTAACGTTAACACAACACTGTATTTGCTCACTCAGATGAACTTCGTAATGTGTACATGTACATTCACTGGAGCCGCGGCCCATCAGAGTTAGGGTGGAGCAAAGTGTTCTGAAATGTTTTGAATAACAATCAAGATTTTTAAGCAATCGTCACATGCCACGTGAACACATAACCCTAAAATTAAGTTAAGTTCCACTGTGGTGGTGCAAATGCATATCATGTAATGTATTGCACGTGGCATTCACTTGAGTAAAATTTGGCATACACCCACCCCGTACTCCTGTGAAACGAGTTTCATTATTTCTTTTGCAAGGGAGATAGCCAAAACATCACATGAGCAGCTTTTGTGGCTTCACACATTAATGTTTTTTTATTCAACTTGAAATGAATTAAACCTAATGTTGCTTTAGTCGATAGCTCGACAAAGAGTGATGAAAGTTGATTCTTGCTAAGTTATTATTTTGATGTGTTTACTTTGAGCCCTGAAAATAATTTTTATTCATCAACCCACCGTTATTTTAAAACGTATTGTTAATTCATTTATTTCTGTTGTGCCGCGACTACACCAGGGGAAGGGAAAAAACGGGGTACATGTGGAAACCCACTTTCCATCCCTCCCGCTGAGCACTGGCAGTTTCTAAATATTTGTTCTCCTAGCGCTCAATTATAAAATGCAGATGCACAAGAACACAAGCGTTAATTGCAAACGTGGAATAAACACAATTATCTTTTACGCCTCGTGTTTTTCTGCGCGCGTTTGCGTGTGTTTGTGCTTTTACATTTGATGATCGTTCTGCCGCTGCTGCTGCTCGGAGGAAATGCGACTTTTCTGTGCTGCTACTGCCGATTTTTCATGCCAGACCCCAGTGCTCCCTGGCTTATGAGGCCCCATTCCAAATCGATAGCATAATTCTATGTGGGTCCCAGGGGAGTACAGATGCTCCTGTTTTTGAGACCGTATCATGGCGACTACCTCCGCGTGCATTGTGGTGCAGGGATGTAGCACAAGCTGTGCAGTGGGAGAGGTGATCAGGTATTTCTAATTGTTGCCTTCGCCAAAATTGCATGGTGTCTCCCCAGTAATGTCACCGAGTCTGAAGACTCTCAGGAGGTTCCTGCTTGGGATGATTGGCTCATAATTATTTTTGGTTTGTGCGGAAGGAAGCTGAAATGTTTTGAGAAATCCACTTGTGCAAAGGGATAACATTCAAACGTCGTTACCCAGAGAGCCTTGAGATAAACCAACTTGCTGTACTACCTCTTACAGCACCTTGTTGCTGTGAAAAGTTGATGTCCCACACATCTTGGCTCTTTATCTGTGTGATCCACCAGTCCTGCCTCTTTTAAGTCGCTGGATTACAGATGTGTGTTGAAATGTGCTGCTAATTAACCCTGTTTTTCCAATGTTGCCATTCTCCTAATTTTGGTTGTATGTGTAATTTAAGGTGGCGCCTATATAAATTGTACAATGCCGTCTTACTAAAAAAAATAATTACCACAATCTAACGTTAATATCAAGAGGTGTTAAACCAATATCTTCAGATACCTAAGACGCCAGGTTTTTTTGTGATGCTAAATAAAGCAGAATGGTACGAGGCGCGATATTAACGGCGCTGTTCTCCTTGAGCTCGTTGGCAGTTTAATAAAACGGAAATCGCGCTGAAAGCATCAAAATTATTCGCAGCCGTTCCGACGGTGGTGGAGAGCGCGCCTGTTTAAACAACGGCGTGCAATCAGGCTGCCTGTCTTTGACGGGCTGTTAATATAAATGACGTTCTGTGCCGGTCGGGACAATGTGCTGAACTCCGACCTTTCCATTATCTGTCGTACCAGCCATGCAGTGCGTGAGCGAGGCTATTGGGGCCCTTAAGAAGGATGGGACGTTTCAGCAATGCACCGAACAGCCTAAAAGGTGAGATGAGAACTGACGCGCTGACTACAAAATGACGCCATTATAAAACAAGGAATGGCAACAGCAAAAAATGTCGATCCTCCTTTTGTCTTCCTCTGTTATTTGCTTTTTGTGTGAAACGCGCAGCCATTTGGATACTGAATGAGTCGCGGCAGTTTTCTTAAGGTGCTGCCAAACAAAAATATTACACCTTTGACATTAATGTTGATTTGCTGGTGACGATCGGCATCTCTTGTGCTGGCAAGTGAATTGCTGCACAAAAACATTGTCGTTACTGTACAATTGCTGCTGCCTATGACCAAATAACCTGGAATGCGCCCGGTCCCGTTAGATTTTGGAAAAGAATGCAGGGTTTGAGCGTGGATCGTGCTTGGATGAGTGACCACGATGGATGCCAAGTTGTCTAAGGCAGCTTCGGGGCTGTACTTTGTATTGGTCAGCATAGGACAGTGCAACAATGTTAATTTATGTACTGTAATTCTGCGCTTCGACATCTACGCGCCCTGCCTTTGCCAACCCTCACTGACCAGCGTGGTTAAGTACGGACGAATAACCCCCTTATGACCTCATGGCTTGGGGAAGCGTTCATCCAACAATAGCTTAACAAAGGGCGATACATACATAATTTTTGCTCGATGATGAAATGTTGCTCAGTTGAGAACGTTACTTCAACTCCCAACCAGGATTGATTCACGTCGTTGTGCGGCAGTAAAACGGATACAGCTTGGTTGAGGCTGCAGCTCTTGGTGTGAAGGCAACAGTTATTGTCCATGTGAGAGATTGGCCTCTACCATAGGAATGTGGAATATCCACCACTGACCCAAAACCTTTGGTGTAGGAGAGCACCGCCTCGTACTCATTTTGGCATTGTAAAATAATAGCTGGGTTACTTGGTACAATAATCGGTTCAAGATTGAAGTCAAGTTGTGCATTGCCATGAAATAAATCGATGCACTTTCAGTATAGACGACTAAAATAATCCCGTATCAAGCCGTTGATAGAGATTGGTTGGTGGCAATATAATCTATGAATCATCCAAGCTTATGGGAGACCCAACAGCATTCATTGTTGTACGGTACATTTTTATAATATGCTTTTAACCACACTGCTTTGCTCGATGGCTACGATATCTGAAATTAACATTTTTGTCTGATGGACATTGTGGTGCATCCTTGCAATGGAGCTCTTGTTGGATTATGTTAACACCATCACACAGGGCCATTGAGGTAGGCAGTATAGCAGGTATTTGCCAATCTATTTTTGCACATTGTGTGTGTCATACCCTTGTGTGTGTTTGCACATATTGTGTGTGTGTCATACTCTAGTGTGTGTTTTCCGTAGGGTATTATGGTTTCCTCACAACAACAACAAACGCCATCAATAAGGAATTGGGCTTAAACAACCCAATGCGAACGCCTCCTAAAAGAGATGCTTGAGACTCGGTGAACCCCCTTTTGCGGATACATTCAAAGCGATTATTATTTATGTATTAATGGAAAAGAGGAATGAATCTAACCTGAGAGAGTACACCCACTTACAGAACAACGTTACTCACCCTCTTTGAATGGCAGTATTTTATTTTTTTACCCCCCCCCCCCCCCCTTCATGGCAGACCATTCAAAAACGGTTTTGCCATGTCTATGAGGGACATCGCACTTTATTGGATGATAAATTGTTGCAGATTGGAGTGGGGATTCTTTTTCATTGTGCCACACTTAAAACCAGGCAACCTGGAAACCCCATTTCATTTCTTTCGGCAGGGGGGAAAAAAAGCGCCATTTAATATTCAAACCCTCGGCATTAATTATAATAATACTATTTAACAGACATTAGCATTTTGACAGTGCATTTAAAAAAAAGAGAAATTCGATTGCTCCTGCGTTGATTTATGCCTCATTAATATTAATGATTTCACTCTCCCAATTTACCAACCGAGCAGTTGCTCATTTGTGTAAGTATCGTTGCGAAATTGGAAGGAAAAAGGGCAGCGTTGTCACAGATCGGAAATGAACTGTGGTGGCCGAGACCGTGTTTGTGAATCCCTCGGCGTGACAGGGCCGGTTTTAAACGATCAAGAACAACGTCTGAGAGTTCTGAAGTGCACGCTTTCTCATTGAACGCACTGTGGTGCAGTGTTCGCGTAAAGTGAGCTATTGAATGCTGACGTACACGCTTTATCTAATTTTGTGCTTGCCCAGTGCTCTCAAAGCATTTTCTCATTTGTTGGTTTAATAGGTGGCTCTCAATTTAATGACTTTTTTCAACACGGATACAGCTATATGTTATAAATATTTAGCAGAACATGTAATGAAGTGGGGGGGTAGAGTGGCGGCGCAGTGCTTAGCATCCTTGCGTTGAGTGATATCTGAAACGCTCCTGAGCTTTTTTTTCCTCCCTTCAGCTGACAACGTCAAGTATGATCAAACAACCCCCACGACTCACACGGGGTGGGGGGCGGGGGCTGTGTAAGTGTTCATCCAGCAGTGGATTGTAAAAGGCCTGTAATAAAAAAAAGTATTTTAATCATTGTTATATTAACTATTTTTATTATTGGTGCTCTGAGATCCATTGTTTAAGGGTGGCTTTTAAATTTAATTTATTATGATGGCGGAGTGTTAATTAGCGACACAGCACAATTATCATCTTCATGAGCATTATCGTTGCATTACATCATCAGCCATTCATCCATTGCTGGATGAACTTCATCCTACTGTACTACACGACTATCATCCACCTCACTGCCACGACTCCCTAAACATATCACTGTGCCTACTAACAATAAACAATAATCTGAATCTTCCAATGGTTTATCGTGATGCAGCCTCCTCATTGCCTTTTGAACTTTAGCAGCTTAACATTGCATCGTAGGGCTATGTTAATATGCAGTGTCTAGAATAATTATCTTGTTTGGCTGGCCGTGCATGTATATGTATATTTTTATATACTTGGTGTAAAATTCACACCTTACCATTGTTTTCAGCTTGTGCTTTACCATATGTATGCATGTTGTGAGTGGGCAAGTGTGAACATGTGTATGTATATGTATGTCAGTGGACCCATGGTACCTGGGTCTGTCCCGTGACCTGCCAGCGGGCGTTCGAGAGTTCACGTGGCCTTAACCTGGACATAGCCTGGCACAAGTGCCATGGTGACATCACCGCCACTTAGTGGCGAATAGCGGTTGTATGTGGGGAGCGATAGTGCAGCGGTTTGCGCATTGCGCTATGAACCCAGCAACCGGAGTTCGATTCCTGCTGACGGCTACTAACACCAGTGACAATTATCTGAACTGGTTCTGGGCCTCCCCTAGGTCGACTCAGCCTCAAATTAGTCCCTGGTGCAGTGTGTAAACATGGTCACTGGGGAGACAAAGGCGGCCCGGCGTGGTACTGGCCATCTGCTCCCTCGTGTGCTCTACCGGCCTTCATAGGTGCTCGCTAACAGCACTTGCCCCAACAGTATGTTTAGGCTATATGGGGGGTCTTTGTTTTATATGTATGTTTGAGCATAGTGTATAGCGCAATTCGTTGTGAACTCAGTGACCTGAATTCCCGGCCACGGCTAACATCAGGAGTGAGTGATATCAAAATCGATCCTGGAACTCCCCTAGGTTGACCGAGTCTTAAATTAGTACCTGGTATGGTGTGTAAACGTCAGCAGGGGGGGGGAGACAGGCATTGGGGTGTGATTCTGACCATACCACTCCATCGTGTGCCATGCCGGCCTCAATAGGTGATCACTAACAGAATTTTCCCCAACAGTCTGTTAAATGTTATACGTGGGATCTTTGTATAAGAGTGCATATGTGTGTATGTATATATGTGATAGTGTTAGTATTTTATTTCTAGTTTTATATTTTCGACATTTTTTCCCTTCACTTTTCTATTTTTTATTGCAACCCCAAAGTTCACGATGAAATGAAACCCACAATTGTAAAAAAAATATGATTCAAAGCCAAATGAAAAGTTTAATTTTATTTCCCTTTTTTATAACCATTCATCAATTTATTTCAGCGTACCTAATTTAAAGTTTTTATGCTTTTCGGATGATGTTTTAAAGCTATCCCATTTCCTCGTGACCACAATTTGGGTGGCTGTAATTGGGAAAGAAATGTTTACATGCAATAAAAACCGAGGAGCTTTAATTACTTAGTGTCTACAGCTTTAGTATTTCATCCGTACAATAGGGACTTCTTAGATGTGAAATACTATACATTCTCTAACAGTAACTACACACACACGCACATAATTACGACACATATATAGTACATTTGTGCACAAATACATATATACGCACACACACGTGCAATATAGCTGCAATGTAATATTAATCGGCCATGTAACAATGCATCAATTCAAGTCGTGCATGCAAGAATCTATTACTTGCAATTTATGTAAAAATAATAATTTTCGTCGTGTAAATCCACTGCTAGATGAAGGTCGTTTCGACGCTATTTCACCGTGATACTCAGTTGGTGAAGCGGGTGTCCCAAGTTTAGGTATTATTCACTAGTGATATTATCCCTAACTGGTATGCAAACCAATGCTGCGACCACTCCCAATTTACATTTAAGCCAAAAGGACGTAACCAAACTGTAGAAAAGATATGAAAAAAATGGGAGACAATGCAAACGAGATGGTAAAATTATTGCTACGTAAAAAATAACATATTTATTTAAAAATACAATTGTGGTAAATATGCATTGCTAGTGTGGAGTGCATCATAACATTACTTAATATTATTACATTATCTATTCACTACCAGTCTCTGTGCATCCCACGTTTGCACATGCAGTTAATGAGACCCAGATCGCAATCAAACTCGTTCCTCCAAATCCACCAGATTCGGTGTTTGTACACGTACTTTGATCATTGCTTGTGTTTCATAATGAAGTGACATGGAAATCCTTTTATAGACAAGGAGTGGCTTTTTATGATGTTTTATTTGTATACAGTTGAATGTTTATTCAATTGACAAATTAACACTTGTATAGCTATTTG